ACTTCCAAATGGTAGTGGCTAGGAGAAGGTTAGTTTTTATAGGTTTAAAATAAAAGATCAGTTTTTATAATCCATCAGGTTTGAAAACTTTAATATCTTCTTTTATTTTTTAAATATTGCTCAAGAAGGCTCAGAAGACTTGGGCTCACAGGTCCCTGCTCCCAGGCTGCAACAGCCAGTGGAAGAATCAACACCAGCATCACAAAGCTAAGCCCTTGTAATGGTAGGTAAAGTCCCCTGATCAGCAGAGGGGAAATCCATAGGACACTGAAACCTTTTCTTCCCTGGGCCAAGAGGAAGTCTCCATCCACAGCATCTGGAATATTTCTGAACATGATAAAGGTGTGAAGATGAAAAATGGGACACATCTACCACAGCTCCAACAGCCAAAGCAAACACAAAAGAGCTCAGAAGTTACGGCTTCAAAATTGCTTGTTCATTAGTCCTTTTCATATTTCACTAGCATCCTCACACACACTGGCCCATGTACATAGCAAACCCCAAATGGGTTTTAAAACTAACCTAGTAAAGAAAAACAAAAGTTCTGTGGGTCAGAGGAGTCTGCCTGACCCTAGATTCTGTACTACCTTAACATGTTTTTTTTCTTGTTGCTTTTCTCTCTCTTTGTTTGCTTTTAGAGGGAGAGTTGGGTTTTTGTTTCATCCTTTCCTATTCTTTTGTCTTAAGTTTTTCAATGTACCAAACAGAGAGTCAGATCATCAGTTTTCTTCTACCCTTATTTTATAGACCACTGAGAGAAGTTATAAAAATTAAATTATTTTTTGGCTTCTTATTTTAATGCTAAAAGAGAAAATAACCAGAAATAATGTGGGCAATGATGTGATTTTTCCAGCAGTGTCATAATCATCAGGGAGAGTATTACTGCTGCTTGATTAAATAGCTCAGATTTACTGTGATTCATTATTTTCTGAGAAAATCTAGACAGCAATGATTCTGTCTTTACTACTCTCTCAACATTTCTATCAGTAACCTCTTCGCTACATTTACATTTGAAAAAAAAGTTGAAGTTAAGTTTGTTATATTAATCTAGAACAGCAGAAGGATGATGCTTGTGGATCTGTCTACTCACTTAAATAAGAAACTGAAGTGTGATCTACTTACTTGGCAACCAGGTACAAACCACATAAAATCTACCCAATGTTCTGTTTGTTGCCGAGAATTCAATGAATTTCGAAGAAAAAAAAGATAGTCTCTCAAAGAAAGGCTGACAGTGCAATATCAAACCTCTGTCTTTTCTCACTACCTGTTCACACCTGCAGACATGTGCATGGACATATCTTGCTGCTCACCTGTTTTAATAGAGCCCCTGGCTGCAGAGCAGCCAATTTGTTTAAAAATGATTGCTCAAATATAATTTGGATACTAGGTATCTCATTTCTTGTGTTATGTATTTAATTCCAGGTTCAGAGGTTATTGAGCACAGAAGCCTCTGAAAAGAAGTCATCATATTTACCTCTTTGCACTTATTTCACTAACAAATATGGCAGCCGGATTGTATATGTGTGCAGGTTTGGAACTAGGACGTTTTCTTCAACTTAATTTTGCTTGACTAAACTAAATGGAATCATGCAGATTCCCCTAACTTTGAACTCTGCATGGAGCTGCAAAAACCATGCTTTGCTTTAAATGATCCTTGTTCTTTCAACCACAAACTTTTTTTTTTTTGGTGCATACTGGCATCTCAAACCAGCAAGTACTGAGCATTATGGGGTTGATCCAGAAAGGCATTCCTGTAAAAGTTTGATTTCAGGTCTTGTTGGGGGCCAGTTCCTGAAAACATAAAGCTAGTTACACATTTGACTACTTTGTTGGATTGAGACCAGGGCACAAGGTCTTAGAGATGGACATGTCCGTGCTATGCTGACAAACACCCACACCTGGCAATGAAGCCAGCTTCACTTACAGGCTCCAAGTTCCACTTGGCTATTTTAGGACAGGTTAGGTACCAAGGCTAGGTGTGGGGGGAGGTGGTTTATTATGTGAAAAAAGGTCAGAAGTTTGCCTGTTTGCTCAAACCAGCCAAATCTGGTTTTAATCTATGAAAACACACCAAAACACCCTTCTTGGAGAAAAAGGTATGTTGTATTTTTCCTGACCGCTGTTTTCCCTGGTGGCAAGTTTCTCATTCAAAATTAAATCCACAGCTTTGTTTATGGGACTTTACAGAAGTATTTGCATGGGTTACCGAGGGGAGGGAATACTCCCATATGCAGAAACGCAGAAACCATTAAAGCACATGAGGCTCTGTTGGTTCCCCTCCCCAGCTGCTACTAAGTTTATTTGCAGGCTGCAGCCTGGAAAAGGGGCTGTGGCCCATCTGCACCACATATGTGGGAATTAATTTCCAACATAGCCACAGGAGTGTGGGTCCGGCACACCCTCCCCTAACCTCCTCTCAGATCCCCCTCCACGCTGCCTTAATTGGAGCCAGAGCGGCTGCCACCGAGCGCTGCGATGTCACGGGGCGGGAGGGTCAGGGTCTCGGCTGCGTTGCTGGTCCTTCGAGGACCCCCGCCGTTCCCTCCCTTCCCGGCACATCCATGGGGTTAAATGGCACAGCGAACCTTGTGCGGGCCCCTCCGCGTGGGGCGAGCGTCACCCCTGGAGCAAACCTGGCGTCACGCTGGACAGTGGGGCAAGAGAAGGACATCAAAGGGGGCAACGCTGTGCTGCTGCACCGCATCTCCTGGGTCTGAGCCTTTTCCCTCTACAGCTGCAATGCTGACACTCGCTGCTCAGTGGTGGGGCATCGGGGGGGGGGG